CAGTTCTAGAGTATTGGATGCCCTCTTCTGGCCACTATTGGCCCCTGCATCCACATGGTGTACATACAGACAAGCAGACACATAAATGTACACTTAAATCTTTAAAAACAAAGTATTTGTATGCACACAAAGCAAGAACAGATAAACGTCTTCACTACAGTAAGAGGAACCATTTAGACACGACCACCTTGTGAACAGTGGCAAACATGAGAAATTGGAGGAGTGGGTAGGTGCCTCTGCTCCTTGGAGAAAAGCTTCCAGTCTTCGCAGTCACTGCTAATGAGTGCATTACCACCAGGTTTATCTTGTATCATTATCAAAAAGATACCCCAGTGTCCTGGGTGACTGTTCCTCTTTTGTGTTCTTAGCAATTAGGCTAATTTATTTGACTGATTAGGAAGTAAGTAATAATTACATAGGTATTCTCAGATACTTTTGATCTATTACTAGTCCCCTTTTCACAGATAAAAAGTGTTGGGGTGTCAGTTTGGTTTCTATTGCTGCGATAAAACACCGACTGAAACCAACTTGGGAGGAAGGTTTATTTGGCTCAGAGCTCCCAGTCCACTGTCAAGGAAAGCTGAGGCAGGAACTGAAGCAGACCATGGAGGGTTACCGGCTTGCTACTCTGGCCTGTGCTCAGTCTGTGAGGTATATGCCATCGCCTGGGCCCAGTATGCTGGTCACTCTCACATTACTCAGCAGTCAACAAAATGTCTCCAATCTGACAAGGGAACTTCCCCAGTTGTGCCCCCTCTTCCCAGGTGTGTCAAGTTGACAACAAGCTATCCTGCACATGGGAAAGATTTGTCAAGTACTGATTGGTTATGGATTTTCACCATTCTTGGTCTAACTTTTCATTAGTTCCTTAGCAAATATTGGACCATCCTAATCTGATAACACAAAATTTGAAATGCTCCAAAATCTTAATCTTAATGAGGGCCAAACTGATGCCTCAAGGGGCAACTCCATACCTGTTATCATCTGATTGGACATAGTCAAAAAGCAGGTGTAGCAGCAATAGTGTTTAAAATCTGGCTGGGGCCAGGTGTGGTGGTGCACCCGTTTGGTGGGAAGCAGATACAGGTGGATCTCTGTGAGTTCAAGGCCAGCCTGGTCTACATAGGGAGAGCCAGGCCAGGTGGGGCTCAAAACAAACAATCTGGCTGGGGAGATGGTTCAGTAAGAGCACGTGCTGTGCAAACATGAGTTAAAATCTCTAGCACCCACCTAAAAAGCCAGGTGTGGACTCGAGCTGTAGGGGGAGATAGGCAAATCACTGGGCTTTGCTGGCCTCCTGCCCTAGCTCCAGGTTCTGAGACCCTTTCAAAGGAGTAAAGTAGAGGACACCCCATTTTCTCTAGCTTCTTGGAACATGTACATGCCTAAACCACCCTCCCTCCCACCCTCCTTTGTAAAATCATCTTCAGGGCTGGAGGTGGTGGCACAAGTCTTTATTTCCAGCACTTGAGGGCCTAGTAAGACTCTCATTAAAGGGGGGGGGGCACTGGGGGAGGTGGCACACACCTATTGTCCTAGCATTTGAGGGACAGGCAGAAGCAGGTGGATCCCTGTGAGATCCAGAAGGCCAGCTGTGACTGCAGGGAGACCCCCGTCTGAAACACACACACACACACACACACACACACACACATGGGACTGGAGGTGGCGATTCATGCTTCAAAGCTGGGAAGCAGAAATGGCCAGCCTCCGGTTGAGAGTGTATTAGTGTTTGTAGTCTCTGGGAGGTGGGCAGTTAGGCTCTCATCCCTTTCCAACATGCCTCCTCCTACCCACTGTTGGGCAGAACTATGATAATTTGCTTTTTCTTTTTTTATATATATTTTATTAATTTATGTGTATGCTTGTATTGCTGTGTGTAAGTGCACCCATGCTCTACAGTGCTCTTGGAGGTCAAAAGAAGGTGTCAGATCCTCTGGAACTGGAAGTTACCAACAGTTGTTAGCTGCCATGTGGACGCTGGGAGTCCAACCTGGGTCCTCTGTGAGAGCAGCCAGTACTCTTAACCCTGAGCCATCTCTCCAACCCCAATAATGTGCTTTTCAACTATTTGAATATTGACTCAATTTCATTATTTCTGATAGAGTGGGATCAAAGAATACTGGCTTTTTCTTATCTTCTTTGTATCTTGCACAGGAGACTAGCACTCCACCACTAGGCCAATATGTAGAATATTAAATATACATAGTAAATATGTATATGTGTGGGTTTGTGACGTGAATGCCAATGCCCATGGAGCCTAAGGAGTCAGGTTCCCTGGAGCTGGAATTACAGGTGGTTGTAAACTTGCCCAATCCTCTGCAAGAGCAGTATGCATCCTTAAACCTCTAAACCATCTCTCCAGCTTCCTGATTTTGAGACAGTCTCTCCTGTGGTCTGGACAGGCCTGGAGGATGTAGATAAGGATCACCTTGAGCTCCTGATGTCCAGCTTCCTCCTGCATGGGCTGGGAATACAGGCATGCACCACCACACCCAGCCAGAATTCAAGGTTTTGAAGAACATGTTCTTTATTTTTTTTCCATTTCCATTTTTTATCTTTTCTTGAAGAATGCTTTCTAATAATTAAAATTTCAGAAATTGACTGCTTAGTATTAAAATTAAAGAAACAATTACCTTGAAGTGTGGTTAGAGGTTGGTCATTAGAGGGCTCTCAGCACAGTATATAGTATGAAAAATACCAGTGTTTGAGCAGACAGTTCCTCAGCAAATGAGAATTTCTGAGTTTTCTGAATTTCTGCACCTTTTCTGGAGTTCACAAAGACATCTACCCACCTTCAGTTGCCAAAAACTATAGTTAGGTGGTCGTGTGTGGTAGCACATGCTTGTAACCCAGCACTTGGGAGTCAAGGAAGACTTGCTGAAGTGTTCACCTTGCTGAAGTGTGTTGAGGTAGGGTAGGGTCTCACTGTGTAGCCATCTGTGTGAGACGCCGCCGCCAAACACAGGACTGGAGATGTTGCTCTGTGCTAGACTGTGTAGCATGTGAGGCCCTGGGTTTGATCATCAGCAGTGGAAACTTCAAAAAAGCTAACCAAAGTGTGCCTCTGTCACTGCCCAGCAGCTGTTCTTTTAGAACAATTGCACCTGCCTCTTTACTGTAAGATTAAATGCTACACAAAGCCTCCAAACCTACCTCCCACTAGTCTCTTCTCTGTAATCTCCCTCTTGAAGCAGAGTTGGAGTTTATGGGAGACAAAGTAGTTTCAATCTATATTTAAGCACTGGTGGAGACAGGCTTGAGAAGAGACTTGTACATGTTCAACTGTGGGCATGCTACTTTTTCCTTTAAATTACTGTACAAAACAATGGGCTTCACGGTGACATTCCCATTAGAGAATCTCACTCACTGCCCTCCTTGTCCCCCGGCCCTTTCTATTCTTACGTCTTCTAGCCCCTCCCCTTCCCTTGAGACACTACAACCAGTCCTACTTCATGGTGTTAGAGAAAACGTGTAATATTTGCGTCTGGCTTTTGCTGACATGATGTCCAGTCCCTTTTTCTTGCAAATAACTTAATCTGTTCTTTACGGCTGAATAAAATTCTACTGTGTATGTGTACCACATTTTCTTTAGTTATCTGTCGATTGGCCTTGGAATTAAACCAACTTGGCTGTGGTATAGGGGCTTCTTCATGTGTTGAGTGAAGTTTGCAAGTATTTTATTAGGAATTTTTGCATCTGTGTTCATTATACAAATTGGTCTATAGTTTTATTTTTTCCTTTTCTGATTCTGGTGTGAAGGAATACTGGTTTCATAGGCTTGAGATTGCAGTGTCCTTCCCTTAGTACTTTATGGAATAGTTTGAGGAGCATAGATGAGTGTTTCTTAAAAATTTGGGAGAATCTGACAATGCATAGACCTGGGCTTTTCTTTGTGGAGGGACTTGGCTGATTTAGTCTTTTTGTTCAATATAGACCTTTTTGGATTATTTTTTTTTTCAATTTTTTTTTATTATCTGTGCCTAGGAATTTTATCCATTTCATCTAGATTTTAGACAGGTTCTCACATAAGCCCAGGCTGTCCTTGAACCAAGATGTACCTGAGGATGACCTTGAACTCTTCCTACATGCTGGGATAACAGGCAAATCTCACTAGGCCCATTGAAGAGTTCGGTATTTTTATTTGTTGTGTGGTCTTCTTTTATTTTTAAAAAATTTATTATTTTTGGCCAGGCATGGTGGCGCATGCCTTTGATCCTAGCACTCGAGAGGAAAAGGCAGGCAGATCTCTGGGAGTTCAAGGCCAGCCAGGTCTACATAGTGAGTTCCAGGACAGCTGGGGCTACAGAGAGACCCTGTTTCAAAAAGACAGGGTCTTTTTTTTTCAAAAAAAAATTATTTTTATGTGTATGAGTGTATTGCCTGCATGTGTGTAAGTGCACCCATGTTTCACAGTGCCCACGAAGTTAAGAGGGAGGGCCTCAGATCCTCTGGAACTGGAGGTAAAGATGGTTAGCCACCATGTGGGCGCTGGGATTCGAACCCAGGGCCTCTGCTAGAGCAGCCAGTGCTCTTAACTGCAGAGCCATCTCTCCAGCCCCTTGCTGTCTTGTTTTTGTTTTGAGACTAGGTCTCTTAGCCCGGGTTGGCCTTAAACTCGGAATTCTACCTGCCTCCGCCTCCGGAATGCCAGTGGGTTAAAGTGTGTGCCACCACCTCTGCTCTTGTCTGACCTTTTCATCTTTGTGTCATGGAAGGCCCTTCTCTGTCATGTCTACTTGGAGTTCTAGGTATCTTCTGGTTGAATGCTTCCTTCCTTGGATTTGGGAGCGTTACTTCTTATAATTTTATTGAATAGGTTTTCTATGACTTTGGTTTTTATCACACCTCTTCTATCCCAGAGACCTCGGGTTTGATCTACTGATCATAACTAAGTTCTTCAAAGTTGGGCTCAGGCTAGTTTTTCCTCCTTCCTGATGTTTTAATGCATTTCTTGTTTTCTATCCCAAATACTTTCTTCTGTTTCATCTAGTCTACTGGTGACCCTGTCAACTGGGACAGCTGCATGTCCAGCATTTTCAAAATCATTTAAATTACAACTGAATTGACGATGAAAATCTAAAATCATTTCATGCTCAGCGCCCGCATACACCAGCAGACTCTGCCCGGCCCGCGGTTGGCTGGGGTCTGGAATGTCCCTTCTAGAAGGCTCAGGACAGCGCAGGCGCAGCGGCTGGCCACGTGGGCCGTGCGAGACACCCCCCCGCTCCCCGGCTACGTCCTCCCCGCCGGAAGCTGCCACAGGGGCCAGCACTCAGCGGCTGGACACCGGAAGTCTCCACAGGGACCAGCACCGGAAGCCGGCAAACGCGGAGAGCACGCCGGGAGAGAGCCCTAACCCTGCCCTCTGCTAGCCCCTTCTCCCGGGGTCGGCTTTGCTGAGACGGCCTTACGTCACTTCCTCGGCGACTGTGCGCAGGCCCGCCCCCGACGCGGCCGTAACCCAGGGCAACCGCCCCGCTCTCCCCGCTGGCGAGGACCAGCGGCTCCAGGCCTTCCTTCCCCACGGACCCCTTCTGAGCGTCTGAGCGGCCACGGCCGCGTCCTCGCGTCGGGAAGTTCCTGGGACACTGCGCGGGCGGAAGAGAGCTCACGGCGGGGAAGCGAGCGGAGAGGAGGTAGGGGCGGGGCGGGGGCGGGGCCAGTGCTCGAAGGGGCGGGGCCTGTGCGGCCCTCCCGGACCTCCGCGAGGAGCCGCGGGTGGTACCGTGGGAACCACTGGGAGGAAGAAGGGGAGGAGCCGGTGCCGGGGCGAGCAGGTGGGTCTGCGGAAGGGGAGGGGCTTCTGGAGGAAGGAGGAGCCAAGCGTGAAGGGTCTGGGCGCCAGGAGAGATAGGAGGTGTGGGGGGACTGGTGCTTTCTGGAGGGGCTTTCTCTGGCGTTTTGAGACAGGGTCTCCCTGTAGCCGCAGCTGGCCTGGAACTCACTATGTGGACCGGGCTGGCCTCGATCTCACAGAGATCCGCCTGCCTCTGCGTCCCCAGTGCTGGGATTAAAGGTGTGCACCACCACGACTAGCTGTGAGGTTTTTGAGAGCTGAGAAGACGATGTTCTCGGGGCTAGGCACTTAGTGAAGTCATGGGTACAAGTCGAAAAAGGGCAAGATGAGACATCAAAGAAAGAGAGTGAGGGTGTGGGAGAGAGAGAGAGAGAAAAAGAGAGAAGGTGCCCGCAAGAGTTGGGAGTGGTTGGAGTAGAAATGGTCTGATCTCAGGGAATGGTTGTATACAACTTAGGTGTAAATGTAAACCTTTCCTTAGGATTACCTACATTCATGGATCTAGAACACTGCAGATGGGACTTAGACGTGCAGGTCACACTGATGTGAACGGAATATGCAGCTGGGTGAATACTTCGTAAATAGAGGAGCTCCGCAGGCTGTTCCCCTTGCTTTCTTCAACGTCTTTTTTTCTGTGATATGGATGATGGTGTGATGATATGCTGGTCAAACTAAGGGAGTCTTGAAGCAGATAGGGACCAAACTGTAGGGCATCCAGGTCAGGTTATGAATTATCTAAGCCAGTTAGTTGATAACCCAAAACCAAGAAGGAGAAATGTTACAGAGATCTGCTCCGTTTGGAGGTCTGCTTTAGCACCCCAGCATCTGTGCATGCAGGGCACACATACCCTTCTCAAGGGAGACCCGGAAACCCCCAGCTCCGATGCATCTAGTGAGGGTTTTGGCATATGAATCTGATCGTCACATTGCACATGATGAGAGCAGAAACCAAGCTGCCTTTTGCAGAGGGCTGGCAGGAGGTTCTGTTGTGCTGGTGGGAGCTGGAGGTGGCAATGTTGGAGTCCAGACCAGAGCCTTCCAAGAGCAGGATCGTGTTCCTAGTTGTACTGAGTAACGTGGTTGGGCCTGCTCTTGGCTTTATAATTTGAGTCTGGCTTTGTGACCCACTTCTTCCTGGAGATTCTGCAGGCTGCATAGTAACTTGCAGTAGCTTTCTTTGCTGTTAAAAATAGTGTGGGGTGTGTGTGTGTGTGAGTGTGTGTGTGTAGGCCAGAGGTCAACCTTGGGTATCATTCCTCAGGAGTCATCTACTCTGTGTTCTGAGATGGAACATCTCACTAGGAGCTGAGGCTCCAATCTGTCATCAGTCTTCTGCCTTCCTAGCATCAGGATTACAAATGCCTGACTTTGCCTGGCATTCATGGGGGCTGGGGATCGAACTTGGGTCCTCAGGCTTGTGTGGCAAGCGCTTCACTGACTCAGCCATCTTTCCAAGCCCATCTTAGTCCCCTCCCTTTTTGGGAGGGCTGGAGGGATGGCTCTGTAGGTAAGAGCACTTGTCATGCACTCTTGGAGACCAAAGTTTGGATTTCCAACACCCATGTTAAAGTTGGATGTATTGTGTGCCTATGACCCCAGTACTAGGGGGTGTGTAGATACAGGATGGTCACTGGGGCCTGCTGGCCAGATAGCCAGACTACCATGTCCAGTCTTTGTGGATGTTTGATTGCTTTGTGGACATTTTTGTCCACTCTGTTAGCATGCATTAAATGACAACAATGGCTGATGAGAGATGAAGGCACATTGTAGGAGGAAAACTAGGTTTTAGGACCATGGACTAACTACACATTTTTGTTTTATTAGTGTGCGTATTTGTGTAGATGTGTGATGATGATGATGATGATGATGATGTGATGGTGGTGGTGGTGGTGTGTGTATGCGTGCGTGTGCATGCATGTGAGCACAAGTCCTCAGTGTATGCTTTAAATGCTTTTACCTGATGAGTCATCTCACTGGCCTTGTTTTTTTTTTTTTTAATTAGGGAATGTCCACTGCCATTCTTTCAGTTTGGAAAACATCCTGATCTGCTTGGAGAACATCAGTGTTCTGAGGTGATATATAATGAATTGATGTGCATTAATCCAACCTTTTGACTAGTTCTGATGTCAGTGTGTCAGTGTAGGTCATGAGTAAAGTGCTTATTAAAAATAGAGTTTCTAGGCTGGACTCGTTGGTGGACACCTTCAATCCTAGCACTCAGGAGGCAGAGTGAGTTCCAGAACAGCCAGAGCTACATAGTGGGACCTTGCCTCAAATAAAAAAGGGCATTTTTAACAAAATATGAAAAGTACTTTAAAAACATTCTTGGCACTTAATAAAAGAGCTTTCATTTTTATTACTTTATTTTGCTACAGTGTTGGAATGTGACTGTACCATCTTCTTTTGAAAAAATTTAGGGCAGGGATGGAGAGATGGTTCAGTGGTTAAGAATGCTTGCTGTTCTTCCAGCAGACCCTCGTTTGGTTCCCAACACCCACATGGTAGCTAACTCCAATCTGTAACTCCAATTCCAGGGATCCAATGCCCTCTTCTGGCCTATGCAGGGCTTTACACATGGTGCACTTACATACATGTAGGCAAAACACTCATACAGATAAAACTAAAAATAATACATAAAGCCGGGCATGGTGGTGCATGCCTGTAGTTCCAGCACTTGGGAGGCAGAGGCAGGCGGATCTCTGTGAGTTCAAGGCCAACTTGGTCTACATAGTGAGCTCCAGACCAGCTCGGGCTACAGGGAGACCCTGTTCAAAAAAATTTTAACATAAAAAAAAGTAAAAATTTTTTGATTTATTGATTTTTATTCCATGTGTATGAATGTCTCACCTGCATGTAAGTGTACCACATGCTTGCAGAGCTGTGAAGGCCAGAAGAGGGCATTTGATCCCCTGGAATTGGAGTTACAAGCAGTTGTTAGCTACCATGTGGGTGCTGGGAATCAAACTTGGGTCTCTGCAAGAGCAGCCAGCGCTTTTAACCATGGAGCCATCTCTCCAGCCCTGGACCATCTAATATCCTCATGTGGTTCAGTTTCTATCGGAGCATAGGTACTTATCCTAAGTTGAATCTCATTTTTTGCCAGCCCTCACTGGCTACCTATATGTAGTTTTCTTTCAGTCTTCTCATGACCCGTGAGACGTAGTTCAAATAGCTGGAAATGGTTACTCTGGAAGAGAGATGGACAAGCAGAGCTCTTTAATAGGGTCACTGTTGAGTCAGTGGGTGCTCTGGATCCATAATTATTTACTCTTTGTACTGGTAGACCACTTTGTGATTTGGATGCCGGCATTTTTAGAGGGTCCATAGGCTTCCCAAAGCTGCACACTGATGCCCATCACAAAGCCTTGCTCCAGAGAGGGCAAGGGAATGCTCACAGTGTACAGAAGGAAGGGCTTTCTAACAGCAAAGGCTTTCTCCAATTTACTGGTCTTTAGAATGACCCAGAGTTTAAAAATAAACAGCATCAGTGCCTGGCTAGAAGTGCATAGCTGAGATCCAGTCACTGGTGACTAAGGCAGGTGGGCGGAGGGCAGCCAGAAAGAAGGTAGAGCTCACCCTGGCAGCAGAGCAAGCTCTTGTGGCCAAAAAAATCCCATCCAGCCAGGGCTGGTTCATGAACACTGGGAGGTAGAGGCTTCCAGGCCACTGGAGGCTTGCTCATGTGAGCCTGTAGCAGCTGTGGCATCAAGCGTGGGACCCATGTCAGCTCAATTAAATAAGGGCCCAAAGGGGAGGTGAAAAATAGGTGGCAGGCCAGCACTAGACTGAGAACTATTTGAGACTGGTTGCTGCTGGTTGAGGGAGAGTATGACTTACATACGACCACTGGATGGGCTGACTAGACTCCAGTGGACGCATTTACACTGAAGGACATTTGGGTACAAATACCTGAATGAGTAGGACTCAGCATGTATGTCAGAGTGTATAGGGTTCGGTGGGAGGATTTGGGGGGGTATGGATGGGGGAGGGGGTCTGGATTTGAGTGGGAAATGTTATATGAAATTTAAAAAGCTAAAAATTTTATATATATATATAACCCTATCCATCCCTCCACCCTCCCAGCACCTGTGCTGTGTCCAGGCCAAGCAATAATCAGACTCTGTAGTGAAGGTGTGAGAATTGGTTTTCTGCGTGGACCTAAGGGAGGAATTTTCAGGTTACATGATAATCTTGTTTCACCGTATGAGGGTTTACCAAGCTGTTTTCCAGATATTTACAAATACATTTTCGTACCCACCAGTAGTGAAGGAGGGCTCTGATATCGCCACGTCTTCACTGACGCTTGTTGCTTGACTTTGAGAACTAGTGCTTATTTGGAGTAGAGTGGGACAGCAGGTAGACGTAAGCACAGGAGCGTGAGCCTGCATCACATGCTTTACCAGCTTCCTCAGAGGCTTGTGGCTCGGTAGCCAACCTTGGGGGTTCTGGGAAAACATGAAGCCTGAGGATCAGTGAGTCACACTACCTGGTTCTAGTCTTTGATGTCTGCACAGTGCCATTTGGAATTTGGAATTTGTGTTCTCTGTAAGCCATAACCAGGGATAGACATAAAATAAAAATAATAAAGTATATTTAAAAAAAAAAATGAGGCGGAAGGAAAGTCTGCCTTCACAAAGCTGTCCTCTGATTCCCATGTGTGCACCATGGCCTGTGTGTCCACATCACACAGTCCATTAGTCTTTCATTAAAATTAGCTGTGTAGACCAGGCTGGCCTTGAACTCACAGAGATCCGCTTGCCTCTGCCTCCCAAGTGCTGGGACTAAAGGGGTGCATCATCACGCCCAGCTCAAGAAGTTGGATGATTTTGAAGTATTTCTTCTCAGTCTCTTATTGAATATTTTAAAATATTTCACCTGAGTTATTGACTTGCTTTTTACAAATAATAGTAATAATATTATTACTAAAACCAACTTGACTTGACATTGCAGGAGGAAGATGTTAGAAACTGTCAGCATCCACCCTGGTAATGGATCTCTGTCAGAAAAATGAGACTGATATAGAAAATAATGAAAGTAAGAAAATTCAAGGCACAGAAGAAACTGAACTAACTTTAACTTGTCTGGATAAGAGAAGCGAAAAGAATCATGTTTGTTGTCTTCTCAGAGTCAGTGACCTCACACTGGAAGAAGACAAAGGAGCCAGCGAGTTTACAATTGGCACTGGGTGGGAGGAAGCTGTGAGTGTCTTCTTGGGTCCTTCTCACTTGGGGATTTGCTAGAGGTCTTTAACTAAAGTGGTTTCTTATAGTACCAAAGAGGTGCAGTCAATGGAAGATAGGCCTCTTGGATGGAGGAGAGGTAAAATAGAGCAATAACAGAGCCTGCTAGTGAGTGTGCATCCATGGGCAGCTTCCATGTGGGTATTTGAGTACTCCTTGCTAAAGTGCTCCGTTCAGCCTGTCAGTAGCCATCCAGGGCCTCATGTTGTGGAGAATGCCGAAACATCCAGAAGGGGACACGACATGTCAGAGATCACCTGACCAGTACGTGGGCAAAGGGCTTAGTGAAATGCTGTGCAAGTCTGGCAACCTGAGTTCTGTCCCTGGAACCCATGAAAAATGGAAGGAGAGAACCAGCTCCACAGAGTTGTCCCCTGACCGCCACATGCGCACCAAGGAAGCTTGTTCAAATCTAAGATTAAATGAAGGATTTCCAGGTTACAAATATACATGTGATACCCAGTATATTTGAGTTTCAGATGAATGGTACCTAATCTACTTAATGTTAAGCCTATTACAGTTAGGGTCCTGTATTTTAAATTGTTTGTTTGTTTGTTTGTTTATTTATTTGGTCTTTTTGAAACGGTCTCCCTATAGCCCCAGCTGTCCTAGAACTCACTATGTAGACCAGGCTGGCCTTGAACTCACAGAGATCCGCCTGCCTCTGCCTCCTAAGTGCTGGGACTACAGGTGTGCATCACCATGCCCGGCCTATTACAGTTAGGGTCCTGTATTTTAAATTGTTTGTTTGTTTGTTTGTTTATTTGTTTGGTCTTTTTGAAACGGTCTCCCTATAGCCCCAGCTGTCCTAGAACTCACTATGTAGACCAGGCTGGCCTTGAACTCACAGAGATCCGCCTGCCTCTGCCTCCCAAGTGCTGGGACTACAGGTGTGTATCACCATGCCCGGATAAATTGTTTATTTTTATGAGTATTTAAGAACACCCATACACTGCAGTGCCCTCTGAGGCTACGAGAAGGTGTCAGATCCTCTGGAACTGAATTACAGACAGTTGTGAGCCTCCATGTGGGTGCTGGGAACCAAACCCAGGTCCTCCCCAGGACCAGCCAGTGCTCTTCACCACTGAGCCATCTCCCCAGCACTAGGGCCTGTATTTTTTAGGTGATAACTTCATTTTTGTTTTTATTTTGAAACGGTCTCCTTGTATTCCCAGCTGACCTTGAACTTTCTAGGTAGACCAGGCTGGCCTTGAAATCCCAGAGATCAGCCTACCTCTGCCTCCCAAGTGCTGAGAATAAAGATGTGAACCACGATGCCTGGCTGAGACCTTCATTTTAACAGTGACCTGTGGCTAGGTCAGCTAGGGGATTTCAGAAATAGCTAGGTATAGGTCAGCTTTGGGCACCCAGGTTTAGCTAAGTACCTGGGACTTAGCTCTGCTTGTTGCTGCCCCACAGCCTCTCTAAGCTTCAGACTTCCTTGTATGTGGCAAACCAATACCAGCAATCCATGGACTAGAATTAAGAACTTGGATTTTAATAGTACTGAGTTTAATGTACATCTGAAAGGAACTGTACTCGGCACTCCAGCAGTCCATTTACAAGTGCTGTTGTCTAGTGTTTTAGTGTTGATGCTCTTGCTAGTATAGTACTTAGGATTATCACATACTGCTATAAATACTGTTGCTCTGTGTGAGGCTGAATAAGTAGTAAAAGCTGGGGGTTTTGTTTTGCTTTCTGGAGGCAGATGCAGGAATATTATTGTGTGTTTAAGGCCTGCTAGGCTATATAATGTGACAGTGTCTTGAAAAAAGAAAGAATGAAAAAATAATATATATTTATATGTATATATATATATATATTTATATATATGGGGAATGGGCTGGAGAGATGGCTCATTGGTTAAAAGCACTGGATGCTCTTGCAGAGGGCCTTAGTTTCCTTCTCAGCACCCACATGGCAGCTCACAACCATGTACCCTCTTCTGGCCTCTGTGGGCACCATGCACACACATGTTGCAGTACATGTGTACAGGCAAACACTCATAGACATAAAATAAAAATAAACCTTTATAAGATTTATTTATAAATTTAATAAATATATTAAAAATATATATTTTGGTCCTTTTTTTTTTTTGAGACAGGGTCTCCCTGTAGACCAGGCTGGCCTTGAACTCACAGAGATCTGCCTGCTGCTGCCTCCGGAGTGCTAGGATTAAAGGCATGCACCACAACACCCAGCACAAATCTTTAATACATGTTTCAAATGAGTCAATTTTAAGAAGAAAGAAACTGGGTCAAATAAGACTGTCCAGACTGGGATGTGGCTAAGAAGAGGGCCACCAGAGCCATCACAGCTGGACAGAGTGACAGACTGCTCTCTTTGCAGGTCCACGGCTGGGGAAGGACTTCTGCAACTGCCTGCATCTGGTCAAGGAAGAAAGTGAAACTGGGGAGGCTGGGGGATGGCACCTGCCACGGCAGCTGCTGGTAAGAAAGTGAAACTGGGGAGGCTGGGGGATGGCACCTGCCACGGCAGCTGCTTGGTCTGTGTCAGCCTCGCCCAGGGGAGTCTGGAGGCCCAGTTCCTCTCAGAGGTTGGCAAATCCGACGTGGGAGCTGCAGCTGAAATGGGCCCCAAGAGGTGGAGTGGCCCCTCCCAGGCCCCCAGCACTGCTTCCAGGGACCCTCACAAGCTCTGCTTTCCCACCTGTGTGCATGGAGGAAAAGAAAGTCTGCAAATCAAGGAGTTTATCTGGTGCATGGAAGACTGGGGCGTCCCTGAGACAGTTAATGGCAAGGCCCCTGGGAACCCCAGCAGAGGTACAGACAGAAGGCTCCTCACCTTGGGCTCAATGACCTCCAAGGCCCTCGTAGTTCTGCCCCCCCTAAAAACCTCTCCCCCAAACAACCTGGAGGTTCTGGACAAGAAGAGCAAGAACGTTGTTTGGTGGTCAGAACAAAAGGTGCCGAGGGCAGAGGAGTGTGCGGCTTGTGCGGATGGATCGAAAATAGTTGACACAGTTGGTGGGAAAGGGGAAAAGAGGCCCTTCGAGCTGGCCAGCCACCTGAAGGCCACCGACATGCTACCTCTGTCTTCCCCTGCAGTCCGGACCCCTCTGCTGGCCGAGTCTCAGAAGTGCTGCCTGCACTGGTCTCTCCTTCCTAAGAAAAACTCTGTGTGTCCACCCAACCCGGTCAGCACCCACTGCCTTGCTGCCTTGCAGCTTTTGCAGGAACGGGATACAAAACTGCAGAGCCTCAAAGTTGAAAGCCAGGGAACCAAAACCTCCCAGGAACGCTCACTAGCACATTCTCACAGAAGCCAAGCAGGCCCCAGACAGTAGAGAATAAAATGTTCCCTAAACCGCTCTTGCCATCTCTCACAGTGAGCCGGGTTGTCATCCCCATCTCTACTCACAGATTCTTCTAGTTGGTCACAATATAGTTTCCTGGGAACAGGTGCTGCCTGAAACTTGTCCGTTTTTTGCCTCCCACGCCTCCCATTTTTCTCCATTCCTTCCTTCCTTCTTTTCCCTTCTCTGTTCCCATTTTTTTTTTTTTTTTAAATAGCAGAACCAGGGGAAATTGAACATCCTTGGATGGGTTTGAATTTATTCTCAAAAAACACCATATTGGGTGACTGTGTGGACACACACGTTGGAAGGTCGCCTGTGCTGCTCCCATGCCGGCCTTAGCCATGTGGCAGGCCTTCTTTCTGTTCTACAGTAGTGCTTTAACTTAGTACACTGGGTTGGCTTGAGGAAGTGAGTGCTTTAAGCTTAGTACACTGGGTTGGCTTGAGTGCTTTAAGCTTAGCACACTGGGTTGGCCTGAGGAGGTGGCTGCCTGATCTTTTTTGAACCTCAGTTCCTTCTGCCTCATTTTTTCCTCCCATCAAAAAAGACCTGAAATATTTAATTGAAAACTTCAGCTCTGTCTAAGTAGATATGCCAGGGTCCAAGGTGTTATACCATTGTATTCTGCTCAAGGACATACAATGTCCTTTGTCTCCTCCCTGTCCAGCATGTCACATCCTTGAGTCACATCTACCGCTCTCCATGGTCCTGAGTATCCAAGGGGCAGAGCCTCATACTGCAGTGTTGGGTGAATCTCTGTCCAGAAGTCCTGGCACAGTTTAATAAAATCCAGCCTGAGAAGCCGGTTAGGACTGCTTAGCCATGGGGAGAAGTCACTGAATACTGTAACCTGACAACGGCCTCCTGCAGCCTTATCTGTCATCTAAAATACTTGGGAACTCTCGACCCTAGATACTTAGGGAATGAAGCTCTTCCCTTCCCCCGTCTTCCCTCTGCCCTCATTTTCATCAGTGCATAGTCCTGAAGTTGTATATTAACTAGATGGAAATGAGTCTTAGGTTTAATTCTGAGTGATGTTGCTTGTGGACAGACGCTCTAACCATTTTGTAATATCAATAATCATTAAACTCCTTTGTAATTACCTAGTTTGAATTGCTTAGGGGTAGGCTGTGCTTGGGCTTGAGATTTTCCATTCCCTACATGGTGACAGAATGTGAGTGCATGTGTAGACATCTGCTTTACAGAATTGGTCTCCATAATACTGTATCAGCGAGCCTAGGTGTTTGGTTTGGATTTTTTCATTGATTTTTTATTTGTTTTTGGTTTCATCTAGCTCATACTGTTTTTGAGGCTGGCTTTGAACTGATCTTCCTGCCTTCAGCTCCCAAGTGCTGAGATACCAGGCCTGTGTCATTATGCCTGGCTTTTTGTTTTTTTTTTATATTTTATTATTTTTAATTTATGTGTTTGAGTGTCTTGCCTGCATGTATGTGAGTGCACCTGTTTTGTGCAGTGCTTCGGGGGTCAGAAGAGGGCTTTGGATTCCCCTGGAACTGGAGTTAAGGATGGTTCGTAGCCACCATGTGGGTGCTGGGAATTGAACCCGAGTCCTCTGCAAGAGCAGTCAGTGCTCTTAACCACTGAGCCATCTCTCCAGCCCTTTTTTTTTTTTTTTTTTTTGGTCTTTTTGAGACAGGGTTTCCCTGTAGCCCCAGCTGTCCTGGAACTCACTATGTAGACCAGGCTGGCCTTGAACTCACAGGGTTCCGCCTGCCTCTGCCTCCCAATGCTGGGACTGAAGGCGAGCGCCACCATGCCCGGCTTTTTTTTTTTTAAGCACCAGCCAGGAGTGGTGGAATAAGCCTGCAGTCCCAGCACTCAGAAAGCAGAAGCAGGACAGTTTTGAGCTTGGGCCAACATGGGCTTCGTAGCAGGACCCTATCTCAGAACAGACCAGAACAAACTGAAAAAGGAATGCTGGTCCTGCAGCACTCAGAACAGTATTGTTAGAGGTTGTATTAGTCACTTTTCTGTTGCTGTGATAAAACACTGTGACCAAGGGAACTTAAAAGAGGGTTTCTTGGCTGGGCGGGGTGGTGCATGCCTTTAATCCCAGCACTCAGGAGGCAGAGGCAGGCAGATCTCTGTGAGTTCGAGGCCAGCCTGGTCTACATAGTGAGTTCCAGGTCAGCTGGGGCTACAGGGAGACCCTGTCTCAAAAAGACCAAAAAAAAAAAGGGTTTCTTTAGCTCATGGTTCCAGAGGGGCAAGAGTCCATCATGGCGGGGAGGCATGGTGGCAGAGGTGGTTGAAGCAGGAGCAGAAGCTAAGCTCTCACCTTTTCAAGCAGGCACAGGAAGCAGGGGGTGACTGGAAATCTGGTGAGACATAAGAACTCTAAGCCCACCCCCATTGACGTGCTTCCTCCAGCATGGCCACACCTTCTAAGACCTCCCAAAACAGCCCCACCAACTGGGGACAAATGAGCCAAATACTTGGAGACTATGGGGGACATTCTCATTCAAACCACCAGAGAGTATCTGCCCACTGAAGCCAGCTACCTCTGTACCATCTACAAGCAAATGCTAGATTCTTTCTAAGATTCCCTTGAATGAAGAAGCTCCCTGGATTCTGTCCCTGTTAGAGTGGGTTTCCCACTGTTGTGGATGGTGTGCCCTAGGACCTGGCATGGGCCTGGGCCTGCCCGCTGAGCCAGGGGTATTTCCAGCCCCTTTTCTATAGCAGCAGAAGCTTGAATAAGCTCCATCTGTAAAGCAGGCAAAATTGTGTGCCTGGGACAGTGAGTGCCAGGCCACCTCCACAGCCCAGGGTGCTCTCCTTTTGAGATCCTAAGGCAGTTTGAAAATACTATTCTAATACAGGGTCACAATATAGGGTTTGTTGTTGCTGTTATGCTTTGTTTTTTTAAAATATTTTTATATATTCTCATTTTTGCATGAGTGTATTGCCTGCATGTGTGTAAGTGGACCTGTGTCATGCAATGCCCAAGGAGGTCAGAAGAGGGCATCTGATCCCCTGGAACTGGAGTTAAGGGTAGTTGTTAGTGGCCATGTGGGTGCTGGGAATTGAATTCTGGTCCTCAGTAAGAGCAGTCAATGTTCTTAACCACTGAGCCATCTCTCCAGCCCCCAGCCCCCCCCCCCCCCGCACTTTTGATTTTGATTTTGAGACAGGGTCACTGTGTAGTCCTGGCTGGCCTGGAGCTCAAATACATTGACTTACTTTTACTGTCTCCTCCACCCCCATTGCTGGTACTTAAAGGGGAGTGCTACTAGATTTGACCCACTAACCTGACAACCTGAGTTCAATCCCTGGGACCCACATGTAGAAAGAGAGATCTGACTTCTGCAAGTTGTCTTTCAACTTCTGAGAGCGTGTACGTGCACATACACACAAAATACATGAATGTTTAAAAAAAATTAGAAAAAGTCTGGTTCAGATAAGAGTTGTTCTGAGAGACAAATTAAAAAAAAAAATGTATGAAATGTGATCGTGAAGCCCATTACTGGTCTGCTGAGATGGCTCAGAGGTCAAGGTGCTTGTGCAAAAGTTGTTATAGTAAAGACCCTAACAAGATTTAAAAGCATTTTTTTAGCTGACTTTGGGTGCTCACGCCTATAATCTCAGCACTCAGGAGACAGAGGCAGTTGCATCTATGAGTTTGAGGCCAACCTGGTCTACACAGCAAACGCTAGGATAGCAAACGCTACCATCTTCATTTAGGGTAGGACTTTCTTGAGCACGATGGTCATTTGGGGCTGGATAATTCTGTGCTGGTGGCTGTCCTACGCATTGGGGGATTTTTTGGTTCTGTTTTTTGAGATCTCCCTGTAGCCTCAGCTTGCCTAGAACTCCACTATGCAGACCAGGCTGGCCTTGACCTCACAGGGATCTGCCTGCCTCACACCCAGCCTCATGGTGAGATGTTTGAGCAGCATTCCCCTCCCCAGATGCATAGCTCCCCCTACATAGCACCCACTACATAGCACCACGCTACATAGCACCCACTATATAGCACCCCCACTACATAGCACCCACTATATAGCACCCACTACATAGCACCCCCTACATAGCACCCCCACTACATAGCACCCATTACATAGCACCCCCACTACATAGCACCCACTACATAGAACCCCTACTACATAGCACCCACTATATAGCACCCCCACTACATAGCACCCACTACATAGCACCCCCACTACATAGCACCCACTATATAGCACCCACTACATAGCACTCCCACTACATAGCACCCATTACATAGCACCCCCACTACATAGCATGCACTACATAGCATCCCCACTACATAGAACCCCCACTACATAGCACCCCCACTACATAGCACCCCCACTACATAGCACGCACTACATAGCACCCACTACATAGCATCCCCACTACATAGAACCCCTACTACATAGCACCCACTACATAGCACCCCCACTACATAGCACCCACTACATAGCACCCCCACTACATAGCATCCACTACATAGCACGCACTACATAGCACTCCCACTACATAGCACCCACTACATAGCACTCCACTACATAGCACCCCCACTACATAGCACCCACTACATAGCATCCCCACTACTTAGCACCCACTGCATAGCACTCCACTACATAGCATCCCCCCTCCATAGCACCCCCACACACATAGCACCCCCAGTTGTAACAACCAAACATACCAGATGCCCCCTGAAGGAAAAATCACAGCATGAAAGCCATGCATTAGGGATTAGGAATTTGAGAACCTTTGTTGAACTGCCTTTGTTGGCTGCTTTTCTGACAGCTGCAGTTACAGATCATCAGAAGCCTTGGCCTAGGTGTGAAGGGTGGGTAGCAAGGGTTCTGCCAGGCCCCTCATCCTGTCCTGGTCCTTTGTCATGACCTGCTTCTCTGGAAGGACTTGACTGCATGCCTGCCTGCCCTGCTAAGGACAGTTGCTGACCACATACCCATTCAGGAAGAGCTGTGGGTTTTTGTTTTTTTTTTTATCCAGGAGCCAGTAAGGTTCTCAAGATGACTCTTACGATGTTTAATATACTTTCAGGCTACTCAGCTGGTAGAGTGTTTGTCTAGTATGCAGAAGGCCTAGGTTCAATCCTGGCACTGAGTAAAACCAGGCACAATGGTGCATGCCTGTAATTGCAACACTCAGGAAGTAGAGGATCAGAAGTTCAAGGTCATCCTGGCCTATATGGTGAGTTCAAGGCCAGCCTGGGATATATGAGACCCTGTTTGAATAAACATATCTCCACACTCATACATGTGTGTACAAGAACATAAAAATACATCTTACTTTAAAAGTTACAAAAGTAGGGGCTGGAGAGATGGTTCAGTGGTTGAGAGCACTGACTGCTCTTGCAGAGGACCTGGGTTCGAGTCCCAGCACCCACATGGTGGCTACAAACCATCCTTAACTCCAGTTCTAGGGGAATCTGAAGCCCTCTTCCAACCTCCACAGCAGTGCACGATACGGGTGCACTCAAATACATACAGGCAATACACTCATACACACAAAAATAATAAAATATTAAAGTTATAAAAGCAAAGGAGGACTGAAACCAGTTTACAATTCATTAACAGCACTATATATTTTATTCATATATATTTTTAAAAGTTATTTTATGTGTATTCATGTATTGCCTGCATTGCACCTGTAAGTGCACCTGTGTCATGCAATGCCCGCATTGGTCAGAAGAGGCTGTCGGATCCCCTGGAACTGGAGTTACAGACAGTTATTAGCTGCCATGTGGGTGCTGGGATTCAAACCTGGGTCTTCTACAGGAACAACCAGTGTTGACTTAGCAACTGCTAAGTCATCTCTCCAGCCCCATTCAAATATATTTTATTTTTAAACTTTATATGTATGAATGTTTTGCCTGTATGTGTGTAATGTACCACATGCATGCAATGCCCATGGGGGTCTGAAGAGGGTGTCTGATCCTCTGGAACTGCAGTTGCAGACAGCTGTTAGCCACCTTGTGGGTGCTGGGAGTCTAACTTGGGTTTTCTGGGAAAACAGCAGGTGTTCTTAACCACTGAGCCATCTCTCCAGCCCCTAGACTCTCAAATATAGTAAAACAACAACAAAAAATTCTCTGAACTGAAATCAAACAGTATAAATAATGTCTAAAGCAATCTGCCAAGGCTTGCCTGGTTTCTGGAACGTGTGATATAAAAATCTGAACTTTGAGGCCAGGCGTGATGGTGCACACCTTTAATCCCAGCACTTGGGAGGCAGAGGCAGGCGGATCTCTGTGAGTTCAAGGCCATCCTGGTCTACATAGTGAGTTCCAGGACAGCTGGGGCTACAGGGAGACCCTGTCTCAAAAAGACCAAAAAAAAAAAAAAAAAAAAAAAAAAAAAATCTGAACTTTAGGCAAAGTTGCTGTGGAGAATTTTGACGGTTAAATATCCTTTTGTGGTAGCTTCATTTGGATGCACTGACTTCTGCCGAGCTTTTCCTGCCGTGTGAGCTCCACGACTTCTGAATTTCTCATTACAGTACAGGAAAAAAATTAAGTAGACAAATCAGATCCAAATTCAGTCCCAATCAGCATGTTTGAGATGCAGTCAGAAAACAAAATATTTCACCAGGAAATGGAAAAAGCAGTGGACCACCAAGCTTGCACACACCACACTAATAAGCTCTCTGTTCTAGAGGTGACAAGGTCTTTGTTCATTTGTTAATGTTTGGCCTTTGAAGGATAACAAGCTACCATGGAGATAATTTTAGAAATACTCGAACTAAGAATATTTCCTAATTTTTTTTTTTGTCCTTTTGCAGCCTGTGTCCTATTATAACTTTATTCAGACTACCAGTAGTGGAGCAGTCACACCAATACACCTCTCATAGGCTGACCTGTGAAGTTTGTAGGCTTAGAACAAGTTACAAATGCTTTTATTTTGTTATTCAGTAAGACAATAAGTTTGTTGAAAGAATGAATATTGCTAATGTGGTCCAAGCATACAAAGGATGGCTGCTTGGTCATTCACATTGTTTGGGCCTTGCTCTTGCCAAAAACGCTTGCTTGCTTTTTTCGGTCTTTTTGAGACAGAGTCTGTCCTGGCACACTCTATGTAGACCACACTGGCCTTGATCTCACAGAGATCCCCCTGCCTCTGCCTCCCAAGTGCTGAGAGTAAAGGCATATGCCACCACACCTGGCTTTTTCTTTTAAATATTTTATTATATGTGCATGAGTGTTTTGTCTGCATGAATGTAAGTGCACCACACACTTGCAATGCCCACAGAGGCCAGAAGAGGGCAACAGATCCTCTGGAACTGGAGTTATGAATGGTTGTTTGTCACTGTGTGGGTGCTGGCAATTGAATCCGGATCCTCTGGAAGAACAGCAAGTGTTCTTAACCACTGCGTCATCTCTCTAGCCCCTGTGAGGCATTTTCTTAGTTGCTAATTGATGTGGGAGGGCCTAGCCATCTCTGAGCGGTGCTTGGGTGCTTGTGCTGGATAGTGTTAGCAACTTGACACACGTGGGTAGAGGGAGCCTCAATTGGGGAATTTCCCCCATGTAGCCATGTCTGTGGGACATTTTCTTGATTGTTGAGTGATGTGAGAGGGCCAGCCCACTGTGGGCAGTGCCATCCCTGGGCAAGTGGGCCTGTGTTGTATAAGAAAGCAAGATGGGGCTGGAGAGATGGCTCAGCAGTTGAGAGCACTGACTGCTCTTGCAGAGGACCCGGGTTCGATTGCCAGCACCCACATGGCAGCTACGAACCATCCTTAACTCCAGTTCCAGGGGAATCCGAAGCCCTCTTCTGACCTCTGCAGCACTGCACGACATGCGTACACTCACATACATGCAGGCAATACACTCATACACATAAAATAAAAATAATAAATATTAAAAAAAAAAAAAAAAGTTGAGCACTGGCCGGGAAGCAAACCAGTAAACAGCTTTCCTCCATGGCCTGTGCTGCTTCAACTCCTGCCTCCAGGTTCCTGCCCCGAGTTTCTACCTTGCAAGGGCTCCCTCAGTGATGAACTGTGACCGGGAGATTTAAGCCAAATAAACCCTTTCCTCCCAAGCTGGTATTGGTCAGTATGTTTTGTCACAGCAATTGAAGATAAACTAGAACAGCTGTATAAGAAAGGTAGCTGAGCATGAGCCTAGAAGCCAGCCAGAGAGCAGCATTCCTCCGTCATCTCTGCTTTACTTCCTCCCCTGACTGAGTTCCTGCTCTGGCTTCCCTTTGTAATGGACTGTGACCCAGAGTTGTAAGCTGAAATAAGCTATTTCCTCCCCCAATTTTGTTCTTGTTGTTTTTGTGACTGGGCTTTCCAGTAGCCCCAGGCTGGCCTTGATCTCACAGAGATCAGCCTGCCCCTGCCTCCTTAGTGCTGGGATTATAGGCATGAATGCCCATTATGTCCAGCTCTTAAAAAAAAAACCCAAAATCTTGTATGAGTGAGTGTTTCGCCTGCATAAATGTAAGTGCACCATGTGCTTGCAGTGCCCTCGGAGGTCAGAAGAGGGCATTGGATCCCCTGGAACTGGAGTTATTGACAGTTGTTAGCCACCATGTGGGTGCTGAAAATCAAACCTGAGTGCTCTGGAAGATTGGCAAGTGTTCTTAACCTCTGACAGTCTCTGTAGCCCCAGTTGGCCTGGAACTATGTAGACTCACTGACCTTGATCTCAGAGATCAGCCTGCCTTTGCCTGAGTGCAAGTGAGTGCGGGAATTAAAGGCATGCACCACAACGCCCAGCTTTTTCCCTATGTAGACCAGGCTGGCAGGGACTAAAGGTGTGGTCACCACGCCCAGCCTTTGGTCAGTGTTTTATTACAGCAACACAGAAAGTGAGCTACAGCAACTGTATGAGAAGCACTGATTTAAATGTACCAGATAAAGCCTCAGGAGGCTGAAGCATTACTGCCCAAGTTCCACTCCAGCCTGGGTTACACGGTATCAACCAGAACTATGTAGCACCACCCTGTCTCAAAAACAAAAAACAAAACAAGAAAGTACCAGGCAGCAAGTACCCTTTGGAGACTTTATCAGCAGGTTTATTTTTTCATGTATCTGGATGCGTGGTCTGTGTGTGTATGCACGTTCACGTGTGTAGGCACACAGATGTGTATGTGGGTACACATTTACAGGCCTGACACTGATGCTGGGGGGAGTCCTCAATTGCTCTGCACTTTATTCATAGACAGGGTCTCTCAAATGAACCCAGAGCTTGTGGATAAGGCTAGTCCAGCTAGCCCAGCCTACCGTGTTTGCCTTCCTGGAATTATGGGTGGACCACCAATGCTCATGCGTGTGTGGCAAGCACGTTGTACCCTGAGCCAGCTCTCCAGCTACCCTGTTAGTTTAGATGAACAAGTTTGGATGCAGTAACTAAAATTCTAATTAAGTTCATAAAGAATTAAGGGAAACCCCATCAGTTGCCAATATTAAGAGTGATTTCACAGAATACTGACATTTTCTTCAACTGAAAAAGTAACCTCAGACTTTACTTAGCATCTTTCAGATAAAGCTACAGAAATGTGCATTTTTCCTTTTTCTGAAGGAGTTACAGTTAGTCTTTCCTGCAAGTTAGTGACTGAGCAAAGTACTGGCATTCTGTCCCTGTTGCTTTTTTCTTAAGCTATTCAGAGAAAAGGCAGCTACCATGATCATCTTTGGTGAATGCATGAATAGTAAATTTGTTAACTTTAATTTTAAAAATCCCTAAACTATATAACATATCAAAATGCATACTATTAATAGAGTCTTTTGAAAATAATTTGTAGACAGGGTCTCACTCTGTAGCTCTGGCTGACCTTGAACTCACAGAGATCCACCTGATTCTGCCTTCCAAGTGCTGGCAATAAGGCATGTGCCACCATGCCTGGCCTTATCTTGTGTTCAGGGACATGCACACATACACCGTGAAGGCCAGAAGATGGTGTCTGGGTTCTCATGCAGCTAGAGCTATAGGCAGTTGTGAGCGGCCTGATGTGGGTGCTGGGAATTGAATTCGGGTCCTCTGGAAGAGCAGCAAGCTCTCTTAAGTGATGAGCCACGTTCCCAGTCCGTAGAGAGTCTTTAAGGAACGCTACCACCAGCTTTTGATGGGAGTAATTGGGCACAATCACTTCACGATCGTCCTCTGAGGATCACAAGTTTGTACAAATTAGTAATCGGGCACAATCACTTCATGATCGTCCTCTGAGGACCACAAGTGTACAAACTGAAGGCAACAGTCAGTCACATTGAAGGACAGAATTCACACAGAAGGTGGGGTTCTAACTCCTTTAATCACTATAACATATCAAAATGCATACTATTAATAGAGTCTTTTGAAAATAATTTGTAGACAGGGTCTCACTCTGTAGCTCTGGCTGACCTTGAACTCACAGAGATCCACCTGATTCTGCCTTCCAAGTGCTGGCAATAAGGCATGTGCCACCATGCCTGGCCTTATCTTGTGTTCAGGGACATGCACACATACACCGTGAAGGCCAGAAGATGGTGTCTGGGTTCTCATGCAGCTAGAGCTATAGGCAGTTGTGAGCAGCCTGATGTGGGTGCTGGGAATTGAATTCGGGTCCTCTGGAAGAGCAGCAAGCTCTCTTAAGTGATGAGCCACGTTCCCAGTCCCTAGAGAGTCTTTAAGGAACGCTACCACCAGCTTTTGATGGGAGTAATCGGGCACAATCACTTCACGATCGTCCTCTGAGGATCACAAGTGTACAAACTGAAGGCAACAGTCAGTCACATTGAAGGACAGAATTCACACAGAAGGTGGGGTTCTAACTCCTTTAATCACTGAGTTTGTTTTAGGAGAACTCAGGTAACCGAGGTTTTGTGGGAACAGTGCTCGTACATAAAGAACAGTCAGTCACATTGTAAGGACAGAATTCACACAAAAGGTAGGATTCTAACTCCTCTTTAATCACTGAATTTGTTCTAGGCAAACTCAGGTAACTGAGGTTTTGTGGGAACAGCGCTCGTACATGAAGAACAGTCACATGCTCCATTTCTCCCTGTTAACACAGTCACGAAAACAAAAACTTAAAGCCATAGACCACCGCACTTCTGTTTACAAAAAGCCACAGACAGACATGCATTTCTCCTTTATCTGGAGGACTTAAATAGATGTTTGAACATTAAGGCTGTGACAATTCCAAAACATAATAAAAATCTAAGTTAAGGCTTTATGACTGTTCTGAAACACATACTGATCGTCGACTGTGACCAAAACCATTGTTTACCACGAGGTTGGGTTCATCTGCCTGGGCATGTTACGAACTCATTACTGAGTCCTTCGAATCGGATGGATGGATGGATGGATGGATGGGATCCATCAGCAACGTCATCCATTTACTTTAATGAATCATTAGTCCCAGGTTTTATTTTGAAGGATCAGCCTTCAACAGCACGTGCAAGTGCCACAGGAGGAGCAGAGCACTTGTGGGTGACTGAAAGATTTCCCATGCTGCACTGATTCTGATTTGCCTGAGAGCTGTGCCCTAAACATGAACCCAGGACCTACCAGCGCAGAGCCCAGACCCCAAGGCATGCTTGACCTCTGAAAACACAGAAACCTAAGTTCTGTTACCGAAGCAATAGGTTTCCACCTTGTTTTCTTTAATGACTGCTTAGTACCACAACAAAATGGAGAATACCACAGTTTAGACGTATCTGTTCTATAATGGCTAGCCTCAAGGCACAAATAATACCCTTACTAGAACTTCCTTTGAGGAAAGGTGAGGGTGGTTGGAGGGAAAGCCACTCTAATTGTAGGCAAGACACTCACCTTAACCAGATTACCAGTGCAAGGTCTTTTGGGCAGGAATGTCCCTTCTACTTTTTTCCCTTCTTAACACTTAAGAGGGACAACTGGATGCAGGCATGCAGGAAGCCCACAGATTTGGTCACAGACGTCTTCAATGACGCTGAGAGAGCGGGGGAAGGTTTTTCTACTACGCAGGAGGCACCACCCTGCCCAGGTGAACATAAAGGCGAGTCCAAAGGTGTCTCCACGGTTTGGATGCCTTGCTCTTACTAGAAGGACCGCTATTTATACTAAGTGCTTGCTGCTCTTGTGCTGGGCAGTGACATCACAGCAAAGAGCCTCTGGGAGGTCCACTCAAGCCGGCAGCTGCCGCGGCTTAGGACAGATGCCACAGCAGCACCTACGTGGAAACTTGCAAAAGCTAAAGACAGCCGTGGTTTCCAAGTCTTAGAAAGGAGATGGTGAGGTAGGCGCAGCAGCAGCTCGCGAGCCTCAGCCGCACAAGCTTCTTCTAAGCATCGGAGGTGCTGTGAGAGTGTGCTGCACTCGGTGAGAGCACCCGACTGCCAGGTAAACTTGCCTTCAAATGGTTGTACGGATTTTATAGCGTGAAATGCTCTTTTTCGTTAAGATGGGAAGTCTAGCTACGCAGGCGCAAACGCAAGCGACAAAAAAACATTTTCAGATCAACATCTTACACTTTATAACACACTCACATTTATACACCGGTTTTCTGTTTACAAGTACAAAAGGCAAAGAGCTGCAGTGAATCTCAACAGCGGCAGCACTGACTGAATTCCCGAGTCAGTACCACCGTCCTTGTTCTCAGGTTCTAAACCCACAAGGGAGGAGTCAGCGCCATCCCTACCTGGCCACCACCTTCAGAAGTCAGAGACCGAGTGCAGCTCGGCGCACGTCTGGGTTTCCACCGAGCTGAACTGAGACTCCATCGTGTTCCAGGCCAGGTCGGCCAGAAGGAAGTCATCCATGGCCGTCTGAGTCTCGTTGCTGGTGAAGAACAAGCTCCCCAGCGTCTCGAAGCCAGAGCTCATGGTTTGTGTTTCTGCGCTGTTCAGCTGGACCTTGCTCTCCAGGACAGGTGCCTGTCTAGCGGTGGAGGCTCCTTCGGTTTGGGTCTCTGTGTCAGATGAGTCAGTGCTCATGGAGAAGCTGGAGTGTTTGAGGATGCTGCCCAAGGGCAGGTGAGGGCTACTGTCTAGGAAGAAGTTTAAATCCGTCTGTGTCTGTGTGTCAAACATCTCTAGGCCTAAGAAGTTCGAACTTCCCCTGCACCCATAGGGCTGTGCTGAGGGGTCTGTGAGGAAGAAGTCGGTTTGGGTCTCTATGTCCAGGGACTCCAAGACTGGCTCAGTGGCTATGGTGCCGAGTCCACTCTCTTCGGTCTGAGTCTGGATATTTGAGGCTGAAAGGAACTCCTCAATATCAAAATCAATTCCAGAATTCTGGGCTGGACCTGATGGGAGCTGGGGGTCAGAGCCAGGATTTGTGTCAGACAGAAGACTCCGGTTGTCTAGGGTCTGACCAGGCAGATTACTTGACAAGATGTTTTCTAAGTCACTCAGCAGATCTATGGTTTGGGTCTGGTTATCCGTCATGTTCTGTGAAGGAACCATGCTATTGTGGCCACCGAAGTTCAACATGGGCGCAGATTTCTCCATAACGTGACTTAACATCTTAGGGTCATTCTGAGGTAACAAACTGTGAGTCACTGTCTCTGCAACCAAGCCACTGCTCATGATGCCATCGGCAGGAACGTGGTATGAAGAATGGACACTCTCAAAAACGCCCCCACACAAGCCCGAGTGGCCCACCTGCACTCGGTCGTCCATGGGGCTCTGCATCCCGCTGGTCTGGGTTTCTCTGGAGATCCCACCTGGCTGGAAACAAGCGTCTACGAATGCATCCGTCTGAGCAGCTATGGATGACGTGACCTTAGAGCTGGGCACAAATGTCTGGGTATGGACACTAATGGGAAGGGACACTTGAGAATCAAAGGACAGGTCAGTCTGAGAACAAGATGACACAGAGGAGTCGGGGCCAAGCCACTGAGCTGCAGGGACCAAGTGCGGTGAGGCATAGGACAGATCGGTCTGCACATTGATGGAGGAGATGCTGCTCTTCTGACACGCACCCCCCAGGTCCTGTAAAGGGTTAGACGGACTTTTACCTATGTTCACCTGGACACCTGTACTGACGGGCTCAACAACAGGACTGATAATTTTTGGAAGAGGTAAGCTCTCCTTTAGGGAGCAGGCCTCTGAATCCAGGCCGAGGATCAGGGTTCCCACTGACAAAGGTACTAAGTGCACAGCACCTGCAGCAGAACCCTGATCCACACCTAACACCACAGGCTGGGCTGAGGTGTCGGTGGCAGGCACAAAGACAGGCATGGGGGAAAGCTGCATGACGGGAAGGTTAACCAGAGCCACCTTGGGCTTTGGTAAGAGCAACTTGTGCAGGTGCCGTGGAGGTGTTGGGACACTCTGCTTTCTGGCATGAGAGCTATAAGAGTCTTCAAAAGACGTTACTAATTTTATCTCTGAAGCTTCTAGGTTGTGAGCATCTGGTTGAGGGGTCGGTTGGTGGTTCAAGGATTCAATGGTCTTACTGGACAACTTCTGGCTTTGCAGGTGGTTTTCCATTTTCTTCTTTTTACTAGGTGGGTCCCTGGAAACAGTGATAAAGCAAAATAAAACAACTTTAAAAATGCAGCTTTAAAAAAAGATTTATTTACCTTTAATTTTAATTTATGTGCATATGTGTTTGTATATGTCACATGTACAAAGGTGATCATAAAAAGCCAGAAGAAGGCATCAGATCCCCTGGAGCTGGAGTTACACATGCTTGTGAGCCACCATGTTGGTGCTGGGAACTGAACTTGGGTCTTCTACAAGAGCAGCAAGTGCTCTTAACCACCGAGACATCTCTCCAGCTCCTCAGCTCACACCCTGTCTGGTTTCTTTCTGCTTTTCCTTTTGTTGAGATAGGCTGACTGTATACCTCTGGCTGACCTCTAACTTACAGTGATCCTCTTCCTGCTGCTGTCTCCCAAGTGCTCAATTACAGGCCTCTGCTTTACCCTCCTCAACTTAGATCTTTAAACATTAGGACGCTTGCAAGTATTGTCATGCCTACAGCTGAAAGCTTCTATAGCAAATGCAAAATTGACCTTTTAAAATGAAGTGCAAAGCTGGGCCTGTAACCCGAGCTGCACAGGAGGAAGGAAGACTGCAAGGTCAATACCAGCCTGAGCTACAGAACGAGTACAAGGCCTGTCTCAAAAATGAAAAAAGGGGGAAATGGGTAAGAAATGCCAACCTCGGCTGAGGGGCTTCTGGCAAACAGTGACTACTGGAGGAAGGAGAGTTGGTTTCTTTAAGGGAGTGCCGCTAAATAAGCTGATGAGGCTACAGTGGATGGACTCACACTGAAGGACATTTGGGGGCACAAATGTGGCTCAACAGGCCTTAACGTGTACGACAGAATACAAGAAATCCAGTGATGGAGCTATGTGGGGGGAGGGATCCTAAGTATAATCAAGATGTCTTGTATGAATTCACAAAAATTCAATAAGAAATAATAAAGGAAAGAAATGAAAAAAAGTAAAACGAAGATGGGGTGGGACTCAGGGGGAGCACCTGCCCAGCATGCACGAGGCCCCACAAAAAGTAAACAGACAAAATGAAGCGCTGATTGGCGATAAAACGGTGTATTTCTCTAAAGAAGATGCTAGAAGTTGAGGTTTTCAAATGGCAACAGGAAGAGGGTCTCAGAGGGTTTGAAAAAGAAAAGGAATGGAGGCTGGAGAGATTGCTTAGTGGTTAGGGGTGCCTGCCACTCATTCAGTTCCCAGCACCCATGTCTGGTGACTCAAAACCACCTGTAACTCCAGCTCCAGGAGATCTGACCGCCTCTTCTGGTCTCCATGGGTACCCAGAGACCTCTTTGTCTGTCTGTCTCTCTCATACACACACACGCACGCACTATCGCACGCACGCACGCACGCACGCACGCACACACACGCACACACCACACACACACACAAATACAAATGAAAATAAGTCTTGAAAATAAAAAGGACCTGGGTCAAAGCCCCAGGCTTGAGCCAGGCGTTGTGGTGTCACTTGTAACCCCTGTGGCAGGAGGCCATAAGTTCCAGTCTCAACTACAAATATGAAACAAGCAGCCCAGCCAACGCTGCCATCTGGCCTCCTCCATCTGCACAGCCTGTCTCCACTGACCCTTCCTCACACTCTCGGCTTTCCAGTTTCTTTTCAGGCTCTTCCCGAAGCCACCAGCTGCCATCTCAGCCCCTCACCTGTGTTCTGCAGGGATCTCGTGGCCAGTTCGGTAGATGTGAGACTGCAGCGCGGTTCTGCTGGCATAGGGACAGCCACACGTGCACTGGAAGGTCTTACCACAGTCCTCCGCGTGTCTTTTCAGGTCCCACTCCGTACCATACGAATTGCTACATTTGCTGCATTTATGCTTCTTTTCAGCATGCATTTTCATAAAGTGCTGCAAACACACAGGGGTAAAGATAAGGGATAGGAACACTAAGATCCACCACACACCCAACTTCCGACTGACTGTCCAGGTACACGGTACAGCGGGCCAAGGCAACTGTCCAGGTACACGGTACAGCGGGCCAAGGCAAATGCATATGCGAGCAGGCAAACTTGAGTTTAACATATGCTGCTTCCTAAGGGCTGCTGGCTTCATGTGGAGTGAGCGGCTGTCCTGGACCAGTTCATGTGTTTAGACTCTGATCTACATAAGTGCTGTGGGTTGAGAAGGTGAAAGACTGTGAGGTCCTTTCCAGGCAGACCCTGGGGAAGCATTTCACTTTATTTTTATTCGGGCCAAGTGTGGTAGTGCATGCCTTTTAAAAAATTATTTATTTTAATTTATTTTTGGTCTTTTTGAGACAGCATCTCCCTGTAGCCCTGGCTGTCCTGGAATTCACTTTGTAGACCAGGCTGGTCTTGAACTCAAGAGATCCGCCTGCCTCTGCCTCCTGAGAGTGGGGATTAAAGGTGTGCACCACCACGCCTGGCTGGTAGTGCACACCTTTAGTCCCAGCACTTGGGACCAGAGGCAGGGGAACCTCTGTGAGTTCGAGGCCAGCTTGGTCTACATAGTGAGTTCTAGGCAGGTTAGGGCTACATAGTGAGACCCTCAAAAATAAATATATATATTTTTTGATTTAAAAAACTTTTTAGTCTTTTGAAACAGGCTCTCCCTGTAGCCCCAGCTGGCCTGAAACTCACTATGTAGGCCAGGGTGGCCTCAAACTCACAGAAATCTTCCTGCTTCTGCTTCCTGAGTGCTGGGATTAAAGGCGTGTGCCACCTTTATTTGTAATCAGGTTTTTGTCTGTGTGCATGTGCATATGGGTGCCTGAGGAGGCCAGAAAGAGGATGTCAGAGTCTCTTAGAGCTGGAGTTATAGGTGGCTGTGAGTCGCCCAATGAGGGTGCTGGGAACAGAATTTAGATCTGTGTACGCCCTTAACAGCTCATGTCTCCAGTGCTCTATCACCTTCAGTCTTGAACCTCCTCCCCAGTGGCTGGGTCCCTCCCCCCCAGGACGGCTGCTACTCTTCCTTTCCTTGGGGAATATTGGCTTTGTATCTTGCCGTCTACCTGCCCATAGAGGCAGATTACCCACGGGTCTGCAGCACAAATGTTCTCACTCTGGGCTCCACCATCTGCCTTTCCTCCTCTCCAAACCTAGGTCCTGGCCCTTCGCTCCAGAACCAGCTTCATTTCTCCACCTCAAGGTACAACCAAATACCCGGGGAACCACTGGGGAGGGGCCTGGCCAGGAGCTCTCCCCAGAACTCAGGCTCAGACCTCTGGTTATGTTTGCTAAGCAGTGAGAACACACTGGGTTTACACCATTCATATGGCCTCTTCAGAGACGCAAAGAGACAAGTGAAATACCTGTTTTACGAGAGAAAACTGAGAAAATGGCCTGTCGGGACCACGAGGGCAGCCTTCGATGGGGCAACAGTAGAATTTCGGGACGGTTTTCAAATCTTTTCTTACTGTAGGATTTACTATGCCATCCTGCAAAAGGAAAACCCAGCAGTTACCTTACAGAACCCAGCACCGCACAGAAAAGGGAAAGTGTTCACAGGTTCTTTTCAATCCCAGCACTTAGGAGTCAATTTGAGGCCAGCCTGGTCTATACAGCGAGTTCCAGGCCAGCCAGGGCTACATAGTGAGACCCTGTCTCAAAGCCAAAACCAAAACAATAAACTCCTTCTGAATGTAAGACATCTGCCCTCGCAGCTAGCTTGCTTGCAAACAGAATCCTGCTTGCCGAGACTCCAGCTCATGCAGCTCACAGTTTGGACACAGCTCACTCTCATCTGTCACCCTGCCCTAACATGCTTAGTTCAAGCCCCTCGAGTAAACCGGCTGTGACCAGGACCTGCAGACTGCTCATCAGGAGCAGTGCAACTTATTTGTTTTGAGGCAGGGTCTCCCTGTAGCCCCAGCTGGCCCAGAACTCACTATGTAGACCAGGCTGGTTTCTATCTCACAGAGACTTCTCTGCCTGTCTTCTGAGTGCTGGGATTAAAGTTGTGCACTGCCACGTCCAGCTTTTTCCATCTTACTTTTTGTTTTATTACGTGTGTGTGTGTGTGTGTGTGTGTGTACATTTGTGCCATAGCACACATGGTGGTCAGAAGACAATTTGTAGGAGTTAGTTTTTTCCTTCCACCATTCCACCATGCAGGTCCAGGGACTGCCCTCTGTCATCAGGCTTGTCAGTGACCACCCTTACTTGCTGAGTCATCTCATCAGCCCTCTGTCTTAGTGAGATAGGGTCCCTCACTGAACCTGGAGCTCAATTCTGATAGGCTGCTTGACCAATAAGCTCTGGGATCCTTCTGTCCCTGCTTCCCCAGCGCTGGGATTTACAGGGTGGAGCCACCATGCCCAGCTTTTATGTGGGTGGCAGGCTCCAGGCTTGGGTACCCATGTTTGCAGTGCAAGAACACTACCACTGAGCCACCTTCCCAGCCCAAAGGAAGACTTGGTTCCCTGGGTAGCACGATTAGGCCTAGGGCCTAGTACAGACTAGGTAAGCACTTTACCACTGGGCTATATCCCTAAGCTGTGACTTTAATTATCACCCTGTCACCTAAAGTAGCTACAATTAGTACACACAACTTTTATTTAAAAATTTTTGGCCGGGTGTGGTGGCGCACGCCTTTAATCCCAGCACTCGGGAGGCAGAGGCAGGCAGGTCTCTGTGAGTTCAAGGCCAGCCTGGTCTACATAGTGAGTTCCAGGACAGCTGGGGCTACAGGGAGATCCTGTCTCAAAAAGACCAAAAAAAAATTTTTTTTAAATGTTTTGAAGTTCACAAATTTTTTTATTATATGTATTTATGCGTGTGTATGTGTGGGGTGCTTTTGTTATGCTGCATGTGTGGAGGTCAGAGAACAACTTGTGGGAATCCTTCCACTATGTGGGTCCTGGGGCTTACTCAGGTCACCAGGCTTCATTGCAAGCAAGCACCTGTACCTGCTGAGCCATCATTACAGACTTTTCGTTTATTATTTTATTCTTATTTTTAAAATATTTATTTTATTTTATGTGTATCCGTGTATTGCCTACATGTAGGTAAGTGCACCTGTGTGGTGTAGTTCCCACGGAGGACAGAAGAGGCCGTTGGATCCCCTGGCACTGGAGTTATGGACAGTTGTTAGCTGCCATGTGGGTACTGGGATTCGAACCCAGGTCTTCTGCAAGAACAGCCAGTGTTCCCAACCGCTGAGCCATCTCTCCAGTATTTAAAATTTAATGAGTATAATCCCTGGAACTAACATAGTTTTTACTGCACATCAGGCACTGATGCATCCGTGTATCAACTCTGTGTATCAACTCATTTAACTCAGATAAGCTTTAGAAGTGCAGCTCACCCTTTTTGTAACCACACGTTCTACCACTGAGCCATATACCTCCAGTCTATTATTTTCCTTTATTTTGACACAGGGCCTTCCTAAGTAGCCCAAGCTGCCTTTAAGCTTGTGACCTCCTGCTCCAGTTTCAGGACTAGTTGGAAGTATGCCTGTGCCACCCTGCCCAGCTTTGAAGTTTGTTCAGATGGTTTAGCAGATGAAGGTACTTGCTGCACAAACCTGATGATCTGAACTTGGTCCTTGGAACCCACGGTAGGAGAGGACTGACTCCCCTGACTCCCACAAACTGTCCTTTCACCTCCACACATGTGCTGTGGCACATGCATGCCCACACTGCACAAAAAAATAATAAATAGCTTTTTATTAAAATTTTTTTATGTGCAATATTGCTTGCATTTATGTAAGTGCACCTGTCTTGTGCAGTGCTTATGGAGGTCAGAAGAGGGTGTTGGATTCCACTGGAACTGGAGTTATGGATAGTTGTTAGCCACTATGTGGGTGGTGGGAATTGAACCTGAGTCCTTTGGAAGAGCAGTCAGTGCTCCTAACTGCTGAGCCACCACTCCAGCCCCAGCTTTTTTTTCCTTTGACCTCAACTTTAACCCTTCCCCAAAGGTCTCCCTGTAGTCCAGCTGCCTGGAACTCACTATGTAGACCAGGCTGGCCTTGAACTCCCAGAGATCTGCCTGCCTCTGCCTCCCCAGTGCTGGGATTAAAGGTGTGCACCACCACACCCGGCATAGCCCCAGCTTTTTAAGAGCATGGTTTTCAGTGTTGCTCAGGGTCTCCTTGAGGCTCAAGTGAGCCTCCTTCTTCAGTCTTTGTCATAGCTAGATGGGTCTGCACTTATGCCACCACACCAGGCTATAAGTGTGATAAGGTACCTTCTTGACCATAGCCACACCATGTTGAAATCTAGGCTGAATCTAGCCTCTGACACTGAAAGGCAGTTGGCCCATTGTGTGGGAACAGGATGATATGGCTCAGTGGCACCAAGGTATGAGTTTGAGAACACAACAGCAGCCTCCTGGTTGCCTTGAGAACAAGTCAGCACATCCTGGTCACTCCTGCTAACCATAGATTCATGGCTTCTGTGCTCTATGCTTGGCTTGCTTTTGCAGAATAGTGGTTGTTAGAGGGGCTTCCACCCCTAAGCTAAGGAAACCCTTGGAAACTTGAACTGTTCGTCAGGCATGGTGGCACACATCTTTAATCCCAGCACTTGGGAGGCAGAGGCAGGCAGATCTCTGTGAGTTCAAGGCCAGCCTGGTCTACATAGTGAGTTCCAGGCCAGCTGGGGCTACAGGGAGACCCTGTCTCAAAAAGACCAAAAAATAAAAAAATAAAAATTATAGAAAACTTTTCACTCTGGAATGTGATTTTTCTGTATAAAAGTTTACCCTAAGAATTGCTAGGCACTGCATTTGGATTCAAATGCCCTGTGTAGTTGCTGGCCGGTAACAAAGGACTTTCTTTTGGCATTATTTTGTGTCTGGGTGGTCTTCTCTGGTGAAACACCTCACAAGTGACTTTTCAGCTGGCAGTTTTTAACATTCAAATATATGTGCGTGGGTGCATTCAGAGGCCAGAGAACTACCTTGGGTGCCTTCATCAGGAAGGCTACCCACTTTCTTTGAGACAGGGTCTCTGACTGGCCTAGAACTTGCCAAGTAGGCTAGGCTAGCTGTCCAGTGGTCCCCAAGAGTCCTCCTGTCTCTGCCTCCTCAGCTAGGATTATGAGCACGTGCCACCATATTGAGCATTTTTATATGGGTTCTAGGGATCAAATTCAGGTTCTCATATTTTGCAAGGCAAGTGATTTGCCGACAGACCTGAGTTTTATCATCATCAGTCAGTTTAGCCTGAAGTTCTCTGTGTTATGCACAAATCTCAGGCCTGAGACTCCTGGTGGCTTCAGGCAGATTTCTTGTCTGACCCTTCCCAGCTGGCTCTAAAGGAGGTGGTGGGATGATGGCCTTGCCTGTCCATGTGTCATCAGAGAGAACTCGGTGGCAGGTTTCTGTGTCAGCTGCTGCTGAACCACCTAGAAATACATTCCTCCAGTGTGCTGTTAAGAGGCTCCCACCCTGGGAACACGCCCTCCTCTTCTCCCTCTGCTATGACCAGAGTGAGAAATGACTAACCATCCCGTCTTCCTCTGGCTCCCAGCAGGAACATGTGGACCTTGCTGGCTCTGCCCACTCACTGAGAGGGAAAGAAGCCATGTGTGTTTTATTTTAAACTCTATCATTTCTCTTCTGTTGATTTCAAATTTAGTCATCTCTCCAAGTTTTTCACTTTATGACCCAACCACAACACTGTCAAGGGGCTCAGATTTATTTGGATATGTAAGTGGTCTTCAAAAAAAAAAATTCCCCTTTTCCTTCTGTTATTAACAACTTGCCATCCCAGTGAAAGTATTTATAGATACTGTTTAACCAAAAAAAAAAAAAAAAAGCACTGAGATCAAACCCAAACACCCCTGCACCCCTGCCTGTCATGCCTGTCACTGGAATCCCATCTTCTCTGCTCGTCCATGCACCACCCACTCACCACCACTCTTTAGAAACAAACCATCTTCTGGCTTCATGACTTTATGGTTTTGACCTTATTTTTATTCTTTTTTTATGTATCTACTGGGGGTGCACAAGGCATGAGTGTGGAGGTCAGTTATTACTATTATTATTATTGTTTGGTCCTTTTCAGACAGGGTCTCCCTGTAGCCCCAGCTGTCTTGGAACTTGCTATGGAGACCAGGCTGGCTTTGAACTCAGATATCTGCCTGCCTCTGCCTCTCAAGTGCTGGTAGTGCTGGGATTAAAGGCATGTGCCACTGTGCTGGATAGCTTTAGTGTCAACTTGACACACCTGGGTTGAGGGAGCCTCAATAGGGGAACTGCCTCTATTGGACTGCCCTGTGGCCATGTCTGTGGGGAATGTTCTTGATGAGTGATGTGGCAGAGCCCAGCCCACTGTGGGTGGTGCCACCCCTGGGTAGGTGGGCCTGTGCTGCATAACAAGCAGGCTGAGCAGGGGCCAGGGGAGCAAGCCAGTAAGTTCCTTCATGGCCTGTGCTCCAGTTCCTGCCTCCAGGTTCTTGCCCTGAGTTCCTACCTTGGGCTCCCTGATGAA